GCAAAGAGGGACAACTGTAGACATTAATTTATTTTTCATTTTATTTTTAAAATTATTATTATTATTACAATTATTATTATTATTATTAATATAATATATTATTATTATTATTATTATCATCATTATTATTAAATTACAGGCCCAATTACAATGGCCCAGTAGGACCCAAACCCTAATGAAGATAAGGTTTCTAAACCCTATCTCAACTAGCACCGTCACCGCCTCAGTTATCAACAGCTGCTGCCGACGCCCCGTTACCACGCCTCCACGTCTCAGCCAGCTGTCACGCTTCCACGACGCCACCTTCAACCAATGTCTCCAGAAGACATGAAAGCAACCCCACATCGAAGCCCTATAGTGAGTTACCACCATAGCTATGGTGACTCACCGAATGACCCTCTATTAACCGGTTTAAAGAGGACATTGTGGTGGCTATAAAAGTCGCCACCGAACCTGCAAAGAAAAGAAGAGGACGGACAGCAAGCAAAAGAGAAACAGAGAGCAACGCATCAACTATTCGAAAAAGAAAAGAAAAGAAGAGAGAGTTTACTCTGTCATCGGAGGCTTTCGAAACATCGCCGGAAACCTTCGAACTTTGAAGGTAAAATCCTAGATCTAGGAATTTCTAAGGGTTTTTAGGATAAATAGAGGTTGTATTCGGCCTTAGGAAGTAAAGATCTAAGTTTTGGTGTATTTTGAGTTTTCCGGCCACCGTTCAGCGGTGATGTCGCCGAAGCAAGGTGGCCGGCCGGTCCCTGGGCTCCCTCTGGGCAGAGGTTTTAAGAGAGAGATGAGAGAAAAAAAACTCTCTCTTCTAGAGAGAGAGAAGAAAGTGAAAAATGATAAGAATGAAGGATTTAGGGCCGGTTAAAGGATATTTATACCCTCACCAAAACAACGTCATTTTGGTGAGGGCCTCTGTGTAATTTTCCGCATGGGAAAACCATACGCGTTATCCCCCTGATTTTGTAGACTTCTATTTTAGTCACTAAATTAAGTTTTCGAGCATTTTAATTTTGTTCACGAATTTTACCATGTTTATGTATATTTATGATAAATAACAGATTTAACCCCATTAACTTTGCTAAATTTTATTTTGATCACCGAGTAGTAATTAAGGGTTAATTACACTATAATCATTATGTTATATAATATTTGGAATTAGATCTGTAAGTTTTAATATTTTATATTTTAATCCTGTTATTTTAATTTTATTTGTTTTAGTCCCTCTTTAAATTTTAAATATAATTTTTTTTTATTTTTATATATGTGTTTAAATCATTACTTTAATTATTATTTTATTATTTTCTTAGTCATATAAATATATAAATATATATATATATATATATATATATATTTGTTTAAAATAATAATATTTATTTATTTTTAATATCAAAGAAAATGGCAGTCTTAAAGCAACTAGATGTCATATTCTGATATTTTAAAAATAAATAAATATCTTACTTATAAAAACCAGAAAATACATATTGTTTTAGTTAAATTATTTTCTTAGATTTTTTTTAATATTTATTTATTTTTCAATTATTAAGAAATGACAGTCTAAAAGAACCTAGATGTCCTTTTCTGATGTTTTAAATAAATAAATATTTTATTTATAATTTATAAAAATTATTTAATATCTTTTTCTTCCTTAGAATTATCTGATTAAAATACGAAATAATAGAATCATAAATTAAATTTATATGTGAATTCTTAAATTCTACTATTAGAGACAATTTATAATCAACAAGGACCAATTTTGGGCGTTGTGGGGTGTTAATCATTCCCCAAACGTAACCGACCACGAATCCCTTTTTATTATTAAAAAGAATGAATTTTTGGTTAAACGCAGACCAGTTTATCTTTTAACTAATATTTTCTTAAAAACTCTTTTAAAAGATGATTTTTAGGTATTCGACCTACCTGACCCAAAAGGCCGATGGCGATTCCTAAAATATTTCATTAAAAACCATTTATTTATTCACATTACTTTTTCCACCAAGTAAAAATTCGTGCCCGGACGAAAACCGATTACGACAAATAACTCACTTACCATGTTTATTGTGACAATCACATGTAATGATGGGCGCTCGACAGAGAGAAAACATACTGGCAGTGGAGACAGTAATAGAGTTTTGCGGCTTGACGATGCTTGCCATTCGAAAAAATTAGGTAGTATATTTACATAACTCCAAGCATACCAAAAAATATAGGTTAACTTAAATGAGTTAAATATGAAAATGTACATGTTCATGAACTAGGCATCTAAATAATCACATATCTTGGAGAATAGAAGGCTAAATATTATCTTGTTCAAGAACTAAAGACTGCTCCACTTAGCATTTTGAACTTCTGGATTGAGTTATGAAAAACATTGTTGGTACATCAATAAATTAGGAGTCATTTCAAGTTTGGGAAGGTAATAATTTATGTTTAAGGCTTTGATTGGTTTATCTTGGTTAGGCATAATTCTATCTCACCTGGTTGTTTATTTATTTATTTATATTATTATTTGAGTCTGTTTTAGTTTCATTGTATATAATTTTCAAAAGTAAAAGAAACAAATAGATGATAATTCAATATCTAAAGGTTGTTTGTTTACTTCAGAATGATTAAGCGCTGAATGATTCAAATGTTGAATGATTCAGAGGCTCTGTAAGAATTAGCTTTGAATGTGACATGATGTTTGATAATGGATTTGAATCATTTAGAATGTACTTCTGTGCTGAATCATTCAGCACTGTTTTGCTGAATCAGTCATCACTAAATCATTCAGCATTGTTTTGTTGAATTAGTCACCACTGAATCATTCAGAGGTGCGAAACAAACGCGTTGAATGCTGAACGATTCAGCTATTTTGCCAAATGATAGTGTTCTCTTCATTTTCTCGTTCGATGATTGTATTTTATTACGAGCTTATTCATTTTTTTGGAGGTACATTGAATAGGTGAGGTGATTTTCATGGCCTTATTTCTTTTATTATCATTAACCCTTTTATCATTGAAGAGGTAAATTGAGGTTGAATTATGAAACTCCAGTTGCAGATGTCGAAAGCATTGTAGCAAAGGCCATCCGTGATGGTACAATAGATACTACATTGGATCATGAAAATGGTTGGATGGAAACAAATTAACTGAAGTTGCAGATCAATGCTCAAAATTGCCACTAGAAGAATTGTTTTTATTCTAGTGAACAATACTTTTTTAATTCAAAGAGAAAGAGCCTAGACTAAATCTTAGTTAATAATGTTGAAGTATGTTACATTTCATTTTAATTTTATAAATTTTGATTTATTTTTCTACATGTCGTAATTAAATTTTAAGTTTATTGTTATTAAATGATGGCACAAGATATTAAATTTGGGCAATATAGAGTAGAAAATGATATATGCGAAATCAGTTAACCATAGCGGCTTTTGTGAAGAAAACGCTACTAATGGCGTACACATTTGCATCATTGGTAAAAAAAAGTCACTATATACATAGTTAATAGCAACATTTTTTTACCATAAACGCCGCTAAATATTATAACATATTGCAGTGTTTGAGAAAACAAACGCGCTATAGAGCTTAACATTTTACGGTACTTTTTGTTCACAAACGCCGCTAACTATTGCGACGTTAGTTTTAGTGGCGTTTTTACTGACGTCGGAAAAGCTTTTAGCGACGTTTAAAACCTTCGCTATAGAACTAAATAACGCCGCTAAAAATCTATTTTGAAGTGTGACATTTTTGTTACTACCTTCGATATTCAGTGTTTCCCAATTGCCCCGTCTCAAGGAACTTTTAATCCGCGTACGATGTCTTTGAGATCCTCTACCACTCTTTTTCCTAATTCCTGCATGGAACCAAACAATGCTATCCTGCCAAAATATGAAGCCACAAGCATTAAAACGGAGAAGAATGGACTTACCTTGTTTATAGTACCAAACCTGACAGTCAAGGTGGTTGTTGGTTGAGGGTCTATTTCATGGTGTATTGAGAACGTGGGTGTCTCATAGGTGTATGTTACTTTGACTAGTTGTTTTTCTATTGGGGCTGTACTTTATGGACACTTTGTTTTTTTTCCCCGGTGACAAGATTTGACCTGAGGTGACCTTAACAAATGCCGAGTAGGGGGCCATTGTGTAATCTGGAAGGAGAACCGATAGCGAAACCAAGAGAGGTGAGAGAGGAATTTTCTCTCAATAACCATCATATTCTTAAAAAAAAACATTAATTTACTCTAGTAGTATCATCAAAAATTTAGAATTTGTAAGCTGTATTTATATTTAGGGTAAAATGCATAAATTGTCCCCCGATTATAAAGTATTATTTTGTTGAGTATTCGACTATTAAAAGTTACAAAATGATCATTCGATTATAAGATATTATACTTTGTTGAGTTCATCGACTATTAAAAATTACAAAATAGTCACTCGATTATTCATATGTTCCAAACTCGTCCTGTTTCGTTAAAATATCGGTGATCGTCTGAGCTGGACGTTAACATATATTGACTGAGATATATTAATCGTTTGAGATTCTAAGATCAGATTTTATCATATTCAGTCAACAATTTAACGTTCAGCTCAGATTGTCGTCAAATTTTTAACGGAAAAGGACGAGTTTGGAACATATGAATAGTCAGATGATCATTTTGTAGCTTTTAATAGTCGAGGGACTTAATAAAGCAATGTCTATAATTGAAGGATCATTTTGTAACTTTTAATAGCCGAGAGACTCAATAAAATAGTACCCTATAGTCGGGAGACCATTTGTGTACTTTACCCATATATTTATTCCATATTTATATATGATGCATGAATATGTTTTTGATATTTTTATAAAATTAAAAGTTTATACTGATCACAAACATTTGAAAAATAAAATAAAATAAATAAACATGGATGGCAGATATACTCAATTAGTACATGCCATTAACAATGAACTGTAAAAGAATCAAATTTGAGAAGAGCTTACAGACAAACTGAAACTGCATAGTTTTTCATTTTGTTGAAAGAGATCAGAATTAAGAAATCTATTCTAACAAGCATTCACTCACTCTTCAGGCAATGGTTAAAAAATCAACTAAGAGCAGCAACCCGTCTTCTGGTTAACAGGTTGTCCTCGTATCTGCACCATCGATGGCCTCTCATTGTTTACCGCCGGCTGACTCGCCATCCTGCCGAGAAAAGTCGAAACAACATGGATAGTAATCGGAATCCGGAACGAAAACATCAACAATGAGTAGTGAGTACCATGCCCAAATGAAGTACCTGTTCTTAATATCACCGGCCATTGCCATAAAAGCCTGCTCCACATTAGTAGCATTCTTTGCACTAGTCTCCATAAATGGAATGCCAAGTTCGTCTGCAAAGGCCTATTCACACAACATTATGGATGCGACTGTGCTGGTTTGCTTACAGTTCATGAAAATAATGCAGAACATAGAGTTGAACCACGATTACCTTGGCTGTTTCGTATGGAACCGCCTTTTTAGCAGTAAGATCACACTTGTTTCCGACCAGAAGCTTGTTCACGTTCCCGCTCGCGTATCGATTGATTTCGTTCAACCATTGTTTCACATTGTGGAAGCTCGCTTGATCGGTAACATCATAAACTATCTGCCAGATGTGGAACCAATATTACAGACTCGACCATAATACACGAAAAAGAGGACAACGATGAAGAAGCTTGTCAAGAGAACGTACTATAATGCCATGTGCCCCTCGGTAGTAGCTGCTAGTGATCGTCCGGAACCGTTCTTGCCCTGCAGTATCCCACTGCATGTTTCAGCAGCTAGATTAGCAACAGAAAAAGAATGGAAGATATTACGGTGAAGATTTAAAGAAGGAAAGATTCTTACAATTTGAAGTTTTAGAGTTTTCCCATCTTGCTCCACAGTGCGTATTTTCTGTACAGGATAGAACAAACATATAAGTCGAAAAATTCGAATAAAAAGATCGATTAATTTCACCTACGGATCAGAAATGCTCACAAAATCGACGCCAATGGTGCTTATATAACTCTCCAGATATGAATCATCCTGTAGTTGAGCGGTAGAAAATGCAGTCAGATTGGACACTACAAAATTTACTGATGAAGAGTAAGCACCATAAACTGATGAAAACAGTACAAATAAATTAATTGTTGCAGTGAAAGCTTACGGAAAATCTCAGAAGAAGACACGATTTGCCAACCCCAGAGTCTCCTATTAGCAAAAGCTTGAATAAATAGTCACTGCACAAACAAGTTAAAAACTTGTTAACATTTCAACTAAACAAGAAGTCGAAATAAAATCCATGTACTTGTTCGACAAGATCGATGCATGTACTTGTTGATAGTCTGAGTAAGAAAATAGTAGTCTTAAATGGTTCGCCCTCTCTTAATTGAACGGAGAACCTTAATTGGTGGTAGTCTGGAGAAAGGAAAGAAAACAACTGAAGAAAACGATGAACACCGGGTGTGAAATTGAAGATACTCTCATTCAGTCTTACATGTACAGGTATTGGGTGGTTGGTGTCGATAAGACAGTCCTAGAACTGATGGCTATTGAAGGATTGACAGATGGGTAGATTTAAAGGGTCAGATAATAGATTTAACTAGTGAAACTGTGGTCAAAACAACCACCAACTATAACTTTCCATCCGATCTAAAAAAGATGAACCAAATAAGACCAGTACCTTCATGATAAGACGATCAACAATATTAAATCGAAAACCCTAAACATAGAAATTCTAACATTCAAACAACACCTTAGGCACAAAATTGCAGGAACACTGTTCCCGTGATGCATAGGACATGAAATACAATGAAATGTAGGATAGATCAGTCTATAATAAGGTTATATGATTTCATTGCAATACAAAAATATCATAAAGCAGACATTGAGAACTCCAGAACCAGCACTCAACATTTCTTTGATCAGAATTCAACAATCAAACCCCACAATTCAGCTTTGTTTTCTGATTAAAATGGACAAAATTCTGATAAAGGGATAACTTTTAATAAAAAGATGTAGCATTTACCATAAGTAACAAACACCCAATTTCTTTAATATCATAACTGCTGCAGATCTAAACAAATTACAAAACCACTACTCAGTTTGGGTACCGAAAAGAACATCAGATACAGAACATTCTCGACAGAAAAAGGAACCAATTATGGCAAAGAAAGAAGAAAAACATAAGCAAACAAAGAATAACAAATCCAGTGATGATGAAGCATACTATTCAGCGTTCATGACTGTTGGTTTGACCGAACACGAGCCTGCCTGCCTGCTTGATGGGACCAGTTACTGACAAAAAAGGCAAATAAAAATAAAATAAAATTTAGAGCTTTGCCTTGTTTTGTTATTGTTTTTATTGCGGTTGAGTGGAAAAGAGAGACAGAAAGCGAAGAAGATTTTTGTTTGGAACAAGAATAAAGTTTGTTAGACATGTCCGAAAACTTTGCATTTTATAGTGGCATCCTATGAATTCCCAAGTCAAACCCAGATAAATCACCATATCTTTATTAAGAAAAGAGTTAATTGTATCATATCTCTCCAAACTATAACTTTCATTTTAAATTGATCGTTAAACTTTTGAGGATTCTAATTTGATCTCTAAACTATGACTATCATTCTAAATTAGTCCTTAAACTTTTGCATATTCAAATTGTATCCCTAAATTATAACCCTTTATCTAAATTGGTCCCTAAACTTTTAAACATTCCAATTGCACCCTCAAATTCATCCAAATATGTAATTAGCTTCAACCATCATTTAACCTAATTTTTTTAAAAACATGTAATAATATAACTTGACCTAACGATTTTATTAACAAGGGATACGATTAATATATGCATATAGTTTGGGATGAAATTAGAATGTTCAGAAAATTTGGGGATCAATTTAGACTGAAAGTTATAGTTTGGGGATGAAATTGAAATGTCCAAAAGTTTAAGGACTAATTTAGAATGATAGTCATAGTATAGGGATAAAATTAAAATATTTAAAAGTTTAAGAACCAATTTAAAATAAGAGTTATACTTTGAGGATATGTAATGCAATTAACTCTTAAGAAAATTATATGTATTTGAAATTACTATTTAGGTTAACTTATCGTAAAGTATTAACCGATTTTTTCTTAAAATTGTAACTGTAATATATATATAGTTTTTATGAAAATTTTAAGGGTGAGATTATGCACGTTACTTTTTCTTTTCTTTTTTTTTTTTTAGAATTTTAGGCTAAAGCCATGAGTTTATGTGTATATAAGCTTACAATATGGAGGACCTAAAACATCCCGAGAAATAGTAGCAAGTAAGTTTATTGGTGGCGAGTCAAGCGCAATCTGATCGGCTAGCATGTTGGCTTCTCGGGGTGTCCATATGATGTCTGTAATCCAACTCTGTTGCCTGAGCTGATGAATGGCTCTAATAAGAGAGAAGGAGCTGGGCGGAGCGTTAGTTGAGTCCAGGGTTTCGAATCGTAGTCGCGGTCATATTTTCGGTTATTTCGGATTTACTGTGATTGTGGCCGTCGCGGACGCTATTGCGGTCGTCGCGGGTAATTCGGACGGCGGCGAAACCACTATATCGCAGCCGAAATCGCTGTTGCGAACCGTTTTTTAAAATCCTGGTCGAGTCAACAAGGCCAACTGCCTCGAAGCTATCTGAATGAAGCTGTAGGAATTCAAAGCCACCTATCCAAGCAGTCTGAAGTCCGATGAAGATGGCCCACAGTTCAGCCTGGAGGGTATTGGTGATGCTAATTAATTTCTGGAAATCAGTTAGCCATCTACCCTCACAATCAGGTATTACTCCTCCAATTGTGGTGTGGTTAGTTGAAGGCGATACCAAAGCATCAACATTGACTGTATACCAACCTTGTTGAGGCTGTTTCCATTGGATTAAAGATGGAGTATTCTGTGGAGGAGCAAGGCTGGGTTTGTGGCTGCCATGAAAGAATTTAGCCCAAAGTTTACCATGTGCAAGGATAGAATCAATGGGACGCGGAGTTTTGTTAAACACCAGGTCATTGCGGGTCTTCAATAGATGTCAGGCCAGGGATCGGAAAGTTATATTCCATGAGACATCGATGGAGGCAAGGAGATGCATGCTGTTTATATTCAAATGCAACCAGTCAAGCAAATCCCTGGGGAGAAAATCAGTCGAGAAACAGCACCGGGGATAGTTCTATTCCAGAATGAGCGAGCCAGGGGGCAATCTCTAAGACGTGGAGAGTGGTTTCATCAGGGTGTCCACAGTCCGGGCAAGATGAGTCAACTGTGAAGGATCTCTGGCTCTTTACGAGTTGGTCATGAGTTTTCGACGGTAAACAGTCCAAAGGAAAAGGCGCACTCGTTCAGGAGCCTGGAGGCGCCAGATTTGGTTCCAAATTGGGAGCTTATTATCCCAGGTGTGCTCGGTTAAGTTACAGTATGTAGACTTGTTACTAAATTGTTGTTTTCGCCCCTATCGCTAGAGGCAAGAGTCAAGACCAGCTCTATCAGAAGGGGGTTTGATACCCAAAATGTAAGGTATTGAAAAGCTAACAAAAAGGGCGGAGAGAGCTTCAATGTTCCAGTGTCCATCAATAGAAACCAAATCTGATAAGCTAATGTTCTCATTAATCACAGCAGAGCCGAAGAAGCAACCCAAATGTCGTCCCAAATGTGGATTGTGTGGCCATCACCAATGGACCACGCAATATTGGAGAGAATCCTAAACATTGCACAGGCCACGCCAAAGAGAAGAACAGTTTGGGCAGTGTATTTACAGGGGACAAATATCATGAACCTTATATTTCTCGCGAAGTAGGGAAATCCAATAAGAGTTGCGATCGGTCACGGTCACTAGGCATAGCCCAATTTCATCGTGAAAGCCAAATTGTGATCATGAGTTTTATGGAAGCCAAGGCCACCACAATCTATTGGTTGGCAAGTTGCTTCCCAATTGACGAGAGAAGGTTTGTGAGTTGTAGAATTCGAACCCCAAATGAACCGATGAATAAAAGCCTCAATTGCAAGCAAACGTTTTTGGGAAAAACACAAGTTTGCATAAAATATATTGGTATAGCCTCCAGGATGGATTTGGCAAACGTGATTCGGCCGGCAAGCAAGAGGGTGTGAACGGACCAACCATTCAACTTGGCTCGCATCTTATCAAGAATGAAATCATAATCTGAACATTTGACTCGCTTATAGATGACAGGAACGCCAAGATAAGTCCCCATGGAGTCAACAACTTGGAAGCCAAGCTTAGAAGAGATAGAGAATTTTATGGCATCCTCGGTGTGAGGGGAGAAGAAAATATGAGTTTTCCTTTTGCTAACTTTGGGTCTTGAGAATTTGCCAAATTCCAAGAGGATATAAGAAATAATGTCAGATTGATCTTCAGAGGTTTTGGCATAGAGAATGAGATCATCAGCGAAGAAGAGGTGAGAGATTGTCGTTCCTTGTCTAATGAAACAAAAGACTGCCATACTTTCATCTCAACAGCGTGGTCAATGTAGTGTCCGAATCGTTCCATAGCCAAAACAAAGAGATAAGGGGAGAGGGGGTCCCTTTGGCGGACACCACGCTCGGGTTTGAAAGTATTAGAATACTCACCATTCCATTGAATCACCATGGACGACAAAATGAGGCAGTGCATGATGAAATGGATCAATCCCGAAGGGAAGCCTGCACACGTGAGAGTCACATTAATAAAATCCTAACGCATCCGGTCAAAGGCCTTTTCAAGATTTACTTTAATTTCCATCCAGCCAGGGTTGCCTTTGGAGTGGCGCATGGAGTGAGCAATCTCCTGCTTGATAATAATGTTTTCGGTTATTGAACGGCCATATATGAAGCTAGTCTGGTCCTGTTTAATAATGAGAGGCATAATCTGTTTCATTCGTCTGACAATGACCTTGGTGAGGAGTTATTATATTACAGTGCACAAGCTGATGGGTCTGAAATTAGAGAAAGTTTTCGGAGTCTCCATCTTTGGGATGAGGACAAGAATGGTTTTGTTGAGATCCGCCTCCATGTCTTTACCAGTGAAGATATCACGAATAACCCGACAAATAGTGTTACCGACTAATTTCCATTGTGATTGAAAAAATTGGGCATGGAGGCCATCGTGTCCAGGAGCTTTGAGAGGCGACATGTCAAATAACGCGTCTCCAATTTCCATGTCAGTAGGTGCGACATCAAGGGCAGCAAGCATCGGGGTTGGCATATGTGGAAATTTATTTGGGGCCAAAAAGGCACCATGCGTCACAGTTTCAGAGGAGAAAATGCCCTTGAAAACCCTGACTGCTTCACTCTTGAGAACATCACCGTCGTGACACCAATTTCCATCTGCAAGCTTGAGGGTCGAGATTTTAAGCTTCTGTTTATGAATTTGGGCTTTGCAGTGGAAGTACTTAGTGTTGCAATCACCGGAAGTAATCCAATTTGACCTTGGCCTTTGTTTCCATAGTTTCTCTTCATCATCAAGGAGGCGTTCCAATTAAAGAAAGAGTTGGGATTCAAGAGAAACAAAATAAGAAGAGTGTCGACGGAAGAGCGCCTTTTGAATACCCCTAAGGCGGGCCATAATGATGCGTTTCTTTGTGCCAATGTATCCGAAAATTATCTTGTTCCAAGTATCAGCAGCTAGAGTGAAGGAACCCATAGTTTCAGAAAGATTTGGAGTAGGGACCCAATTATCCATAAGCATTCGGGAGAAGTCTTCATGATTCAACAAACTGGAGAACTATCGAAAGTGAGAGCTAGACTTGTTGGTGCCACGTTTGCCAACCTGGAGGAGTAAAGGCCTATGATCAGACCTCATGCGAAGAAGGTGCGTAACACAGGAGGCGTGAAAAGACTCATCCCAAAGAGTATTACAGAGGACGTGCTCAAGCCGAGCATGAGTGTTTCCTCTAGAACAGGTAAAAGAAGGTCCCTGAAAACCCATGTCACGGATGCCACTGTAAAAAACAAAGTCTTGAAAATCATTTTTGGGCCTGGATGAGATAGCACACCCCATTCGATCCGAGGAAGAAAGGGTTGCGTTGAAGTCTCCCAAAATAATCCATGGAGAGTTTATGGAAGTGGCAATAAAACGAAGGTGGTGCCATAGAGCATAGCGTTTGGTGGCGTTCGGGCTTCCATAAACAATAGTGGCTAAGAAAGTGGCATTATCCTGAGAGTAGAATATCTGACAGTGGATGAATTGAAGATGATTAATGAGCACATTGACCTGAACAAAGTTATACCAACACAACCAAATTCCTCCAGAGAAGCCAACGACTTCAACACGGTGAGAGTGGTGGAAACCCAGGGAAGAGATAATAGAATCGACTCTCTTGCCACTGATGCGTGGCTCAACAAAAGCAACTAAGTCTGGGCGATTATCGCGCAAGAACTGATTAGCAACAGTAATAAACTTCAGATGTTCACAACCTTGGACATTCCAACAAAAGAATTTAAGATTCATTAAGCAAATATAAAAGAAATGGGTCATACCAATGATCATTCAATCATAGCAGTGGCTTGCTCATCATTTGCGGCCACATAATCAAGGCCTCTGGCGTCATCACTTTTAGTTGAAAGATGGTCGTTTTGGACCACTTTAGCCCCTGTAGGTTGTAGGTCGTGCATGGGGATGTCGGATGGGTCCCCCAAGTCATCAGGTGTCGAAGAGTGTTAGATGTTTGAGTTGGAATTATTAGATAGGATAAATGTTATGTGCTTCATTTTATCCAGCAAAGAGGAGGTGTGTGTAAGCGGTTAGTTGCGTTCATTGTCATAGGGTGTGCGAGACTTCAGGATGGTCATCGGGGGAGTAACCTTGGATATGGTCAGCGGTTTACGAACAGCCACATGGGCGGGAGCATTGGTAGTTTTGGGACCAGGGGTCAAAACTCCCTTGCCCATAGTAAATGTCTTCGAATGAGAGGAGGATGGATTGGTTAGTGGAGCTAGAGGTTTAGGTCTTGTTGGTTCGTGTTGTGTGGTTGTATCATTGTTATCTTCGGTAAGACCATATATGGAACTGAATCTGGAGCCCTTAACAATGGATTCAGATTTTTTAGCATGTTGTTCAGTTGAGGTATGAGAAGGTTTGCGTGGGCGACGTTCAACCATCATCCATGGCCCATACAATTATTCTTTATCAGTCGATAGTTCCTTTGGTGGAGTAGGTGTCACGGTTGGTGGAGGTGTCACGGTTTGTTTGTTGATATTGGTCGACGGGCACATCTCCGAGCCATGCCCATATTTTTCGCATATAAAGCAAATATGGGGAAGAGCTTCATATTTAACGATTTGTACCCGTTCGCTGATAAGAATCTTGGAGATCAAAGGCTTATTTATGTCTAAGGTGATAGCCATTCTAGCAAAGCGGCCTCGACGTCCGCTATCAGTTTGATAATCAATTCGCGCAACAGGATCAATACACTCGCAAATTTCAATGATAAGACTTCTTTTGTAGAGTGTAACTGGGAAACCAGGGAGACAGATCCAAGCTGTTACTTCGTTGGGTTGGGGTTGGGTTGTGGAGAAATCAGGTGACCATGGTTCGATAGTCAAGTAGTGTCCAAAGACTGTCCAAGGGCCCTCTGCTAGGGTTTAAGGTAATCAGTACGTGTACGGAACGTTACAAGGAAGTAATTGTTCTCAATGTACATTAATTTAATCAGTTGGGTTGGTTTCCACATATCATATATCTGGGTACGTAGAGTGTTATAGCCAATTCTACGTCCAAGAAGTTTAATGATGATTGTCAGATCAAAGGATTTCTTCGCAAGAGCCTGGTTTCGACTCTAGAAGTTTATGGGGATCCACGCCTCGCATAACATCTCCTTGCAAGTCAAGATCTTCGTCGTCAGCTATCTCATTTTCCTCTGGGATGGTGTAAACTTTGTCCTTCATGAGGGTATCTTTGTAGGATATCGACTTGGTGTGGCAGGTGGAGCAGTTGTGGCATTAGGGTTTTCAGTAGGGTTTGGTTGATCAGTGGAGGTTGAGGGTAACAGATTGAGTGGTTTCCATGGCAACATCCTCCGAAGGAGGAGAAGAACCACTTGCTTCTGGAGGTTCTTTGCTGTGGCGACGGAGCTTTTTTGAGGAACGATCATTGGTGGCTACCACAAGATCGGCGGCAGGGTTAAGGAAAGTTTGCATATTAGGGCTTTTAATCATATGTTTTTTTTAAAAAAATTGGAACGACATAGAAAAGATTAGCATAGCCCCTGCACAAGGATGACATGCACAAATCGAGAAAATTATGTATATTATTTTTTCTTTTACATTTTTACTAGGATTTTTTCCAGGTTAATTGCCGTATAAAATTTGGAGTAAACTATAAAAAATATATATATAGTTTTAAAACTAACGTTTTAATCATTAATGTGATTGATTTATAATAAATTGGTCACTCGACGTTAATATTAATTAATGTGACTGATGGAAAGTTTATGTGATGCGTTAACCGCTAACCTGACAACGTCAATTGCCACGTTAGAGAGCCCATTTAGATTGATCAATCATCTCTTCAACTGTAAATAAAGGAAACCAAATCCCTAATATCTAATTTACCATATTTGTGTTTCATCATCCCTTTTGCAAAGAATTTCTAAAGTAAAACTAAGAAATCAAACGTTTACGATGAAGATGGAAGACCTCATGGACGTGCCACTTTGTAACTGTGAACACCCAACTAAGGTGATCACTGCTTGGACGAACGACAATTGTGGGAGGAGGTTCTTTGGTCGCTGAAATTATTGGAGAAGGATGACCAAAAAATGACATTTTTTTTATTGGGAGAAAATTGTGGGAAGAGTTTTCATGATAGAGTTGCTAAAAAAACTGAGAGACATGGAGAGGAGAATGAGAAATGATAAGATTTTTGGAATATTCTGCTTTGGTTTTATGTCTTTACAAGCTTTCGGTTAGCAAGTGAAAAATTTTGCTGTCAGTGAAATCACGCTTTGGATGGATTAAAGTTTTTTTTTAATCGAAGAATACATTTTGTTGAAAAATAATGCTTTCCTGTTGAATGGTGGATTGTATGGATTTTCAAGCAATCAGTATGCTTAGGGTGTTATGAAGCTTCTTGTAATGGTGAATTTAACAGGTTCTTATGTTCTCTTTTTTAATCCTATTGGTAATTATGAAATGAATTTTTTTGTATTAAACTACAAGAATAATCGAATTAACTTCAAATGAAATGAAAATAAGAAAAGCGATAATCAAATTAACTTCAAAATCAATTGTTCAAAAATTGATTTGAATGCAAATTTGCATTAGTTTAATATCACATTAAGTCTAAGTTGATACAATTCAAAATCAACTATAAAACCTATACATAATACCATACCATTATATGGACAAAAGAATGACTTAGTATGATTTAAACACCCAAAATAGGGGTGCTCGGGTCCTATAAAATCCCTTGTAATCAACACAAAAAGGGGATCACAAGATTTTCACTAAAAATTACACAAAAAAATACGAGGAAGGGAGGCAAAAAATACATGTGGAAAATATAGGGGTGGATACCGGGTTCATTCGACGAAAATACGAGAGGAAAAATCGAGGGAGATCAAAACAGTTTCGAAATCAGCATAGTACCAAAAACCCAAAAAAATTGAGGAAAAAGAACGAGAGCCTACCTTTTTCATTGGTCGTCGGGAACTTAAGGGTCGTCGGAGGTTGAGTCACCCAAGGGCGTTGGTGTTTGGTCCCCAATTGCATTGATCGTTGGAGAGTATTCAGTGGGTTACAGAGAGCTTATTTCTCTCTTTTTAATTTTGGGTTTAAGTTCTGCGTGAATTAGACTCAAATGTTTTGATATGTTTCCATTTCTTTTGTATCGGGAGAATTGCTTGCTTGGTCACTTGGCATTTGATGAGTTATGTTAACTTTACTTTTCCTTTAAGTCTGACACTATATTATGCATATAATCCATTTTGGTCCTTGTTTCAGATTTCTGTATCTTTTGGATTTGGCCCCGTTTTTTCATGCGTGTCCTTTCTTAGTAATCGATCACTTGTTTTACCTTATTTTGTTTATTTTACATTTGTTTAAATGTTGGTCTTGTTTAATATCATGAACTAACGACATTTCCGATGTTCCTTTTTTATAATATTTGCATAATGATCAATTATTGCTTATTTAATATATTCCATTTATAAGGATTTACGTACTGCTTACATTTATAATATATGTATTCTGTGTTCGTATAAATTATGTAATATATTTTTATTTTATTTTATTTTCCCTCTTGATTTTTTTATTTATCATTTATTATTTATTATTATTATTTTTCTTTTCATTCTTATGTTTTTTTGTTTGATTTATTTAAATATTTATTTATTCTTTTTTATCTAACATTTTCGACACTTTTTAGAAAAATATTAATCAATCAAAGGTAAGCAATTCGAATCGAGTTTTAAATTTTAATTTTAATTTTTAATTTTAATTTTTAATTTTCACAATTAAAGACAATCGACAAATTAATTGGTACCAAAAGGGCGGTTCAAGGGTGCTAATCCTTCCTTGACCGTAACCGACTCCCGAACCCGATTCATTTCTGGTACGACGCAGATCAGGTAAGAAATAGGGTATCCGATCAACCCATTTGTTTTAAAATAAATGATCGGTGGCGACTCTAACCCAATCAATCCAAGTCGAAGCCCAATTCCGGGGTTCAACCGAAAGACGGTTCCGACAGGCTGCCGACTCTGCTGGAGACAAGTAAGTGAGTCAGGCCGAAATTAATTTTCGGTTGTCTTTTTATGTGAAAATGGTAAATTTAAATTTAAATTTAAATTTATTTATTCGATTCCAATTATTTACCTTTGATTATTTTTCAAATAAATAGTTGTACTAACGTTTTGTAATGATTACAGATTTTTCAAAGTTTTCATCTCTAGCTCTATGCCCGAGCTTCGAACCCGTTTTAAGTAGGGGTGAAAACGACGCATTCGTGTGAATTTATTCACCGCATATGCCTAGCAATTATCCTTCGGGATTCATATACCTTATGTCTTCGTGTGAATTTATTCTCCGCATAGACATAAGGGAATGTGTCCTCTCGAGTTTAACTTAGTCCACACAAGCCTGTGATGGGTTTAGGACTAAGGGTCTGGTAAACCCAAGGGGGCACCGGCAAGGAGAACTCGGGTACCATTTTTTAGAACCTAAACCGGGAGACTATGGAGGATTCGCTCCCACCCCAAAACCTCATTCCAAACCCTAGGCTACTTTGTTTCCGGCTTTATTTTCTATTCAAAGTATGCGAACTAGACAAATATGCGGTTAGGATTTGTTTGAAATTAGCATGCGGGATAGAGATCATGTATGGGTAGGAATTAAAGCATGTGGGGTAAACATCATGTGGGGTATGACTTTTATTTTTTCATGATTATTTTTTATTATTTTCACCTCACTAACTCTTTTCATTTTTTTTATTTTATTTTCATCACTTGCATCATTTAAAAGAGGTGTTGATCCACAAAAAACGTGTTTGCTAAACATGAATAATCTGCATTAATGGATAAAGGGGTTGTAATACAAGAGATGAAAATGCAGAGGATAGTCTACAAGGAGACTATGTGTCGCATTTAATCCAAAAGACGTGGTGCTCATAATTGAAGAGTATATCACTATACTGCACTATAAAGGACTCAATAAACGGGGTCTACATCAAGCACAATGAAAGTCTATCATTGAATAACTGACTGGCAGAAGTTGCAGGGGCAAGATGAAGACCACTGATCTTAGGAGTCACTTCAAAGATGACAATGGCAAAACGATAACTGAAATTGGAGACCATTACTGACGAATTCAAGAAACAGACAAATGGACTCCACATAGTTCCTATCAATTAAGGGCTCCAATGACGTATTCGTTGGGAACAGGCTCAACAAAAGATAAATGCCAGAGGTGCAGTGCTTCGAGACTTTTTTTGGGGGCAAACAACTCGTCATTTGCACGGTTCATACAGAGAAGCCAGAGCGGTTCGACAGGTTATTCAACCGGTGACGGATGAAGGCGGAAGACTAGTCAACATGTCAGAAGCTGCCAGAATATTTTTGTCTCTTAAAAGATAAAACACTTTTGTCCCCAATAAGGGTTATTCAGAATAACAGGCACATTTTTTGGATCAATGCCTCGGACATTTCATGCATCATGCATTTAGACATTTGGCATCTTGTTATTTTCTTTGCATTCACATTAACTAACATATACATGTCTCATCAAAAGGAGAAAATACTGGATACACCACCTCAAGCGTTGGACACACTCCATCCGCATAACACCCACCTAAAAAAGAAGAAGATAGAAGCAAGAATGGAGAAAATCGAGGAGAACATGGCAAAAGTGCAGAAAGAACTTGAAGACAAGATAAACCAGAGTACTCTGAGTACTCTGAATATAATCATGAAGAACCAAGAGTCTTTGGTTGATCAGATCGTTGCCAAGTTAGTTGGCCTACAACAGACTAGTGCGCCTGGGGCAGGTTCACCGGAAGGGGTAACTATACAACCTACCCCGCAGGTGGTTATCTCACCTGAAATCTTACTAGAACTTCGAGGGGACTCATCTGCTGCAAAAGCGAAGCCCTCGTCCTCTGTATTTAACCCTAAGAACAATCCAGGTTATAACCATGTATCAGATTTGGATGAAGAGGACAAAGCAAAGAAGATGGAGGAAAAATCAAACAATTGGAGGACCAAATGAAGGTACTCAAAGGATACCATGACTACTATGAACTCGATGCCACAGAACTCAGTCTAGTCCCAGACTTAGTTTTTCCTCTGAAATTCAAGTCCCCTGAATTCGAGAAGTTTGATGGGAACAGTTGTCCATCCGCTTACATCACTATGTTATGTCGAAAGATGACAGGATATGGAGGAAACGACCAACTTCTGATCCACTGCTTCCAGGAGAGTCTATCGGGCTCAGCCATTCAGTGGTACAACCAGTTAAGCCGATCAAATATCAAGACCTGGAAGGACCTGGCCAAGTCATTTCTGGAACAATACAAGCATATCAATGACATAAGGCTAGATCGAGTTATGCTACAAAGCATAGAAAATAAGCATAACGAGAGTTTCAGGAAATACACACAAAAATGGAGAGATTTGGCTGTGCAAGTTCATTCACCGTTGGATGAAAAGGAAACCCGAAAGCTCTTCGTGCAGACCCTGAAGGTTCCATACTTCGGCCACCTGGTTGCGATCACATCAGGAAGCTTTTCTGACTTGGTTATGGCTGGAGAAATGATTGAG